TCCTTAAAAAGCATCAGAAAGTAATTTGATCATGCTTGATAGTACAGTTAATTTCAATATTCTTTATAACTATGCAGTAGGCAGGGTAGAGTGGGGGAAAACGCCCCCTTAAGGACTGTGTACATTTTTTTCTGTAGAACAAAGGTTAAATGTGTTCAGATAAGTTATCATAGTTTTAGTGACACTGACATAAATTATAAAAATGTCCAGAGTTTTCATGTTATTAGATTTTTAACAAAAATTTAATTTGTACCAAGTGGGCGTTTTACCCCACCTATGGGGCAAAACGCCCCCATGGGTGAGGTAAAATGCCCCCCAGTCTGACAAAGCAATTTGCTTTAAATATTTACAGCAAAATCAGAGTACAGACAGTTTTAGCTTAAAAAAGAAAAAGAAAAAAAGAATATAATCAACAATTATAAATTACAAAATGATAATAGCCTATTTGAAAAAAAAAAAAAATTGTTAGCTGATGCTAACTGGCTAGCTAACTAGTTACCTGATGCTAACTTGAGGTAATTTTTAAATATAATGTCCAAATATTTTGATTCAACCAACTAGGTAGAATATATTTGATGGAAAAAAACAAAGGATTTGATGTTCAGAACAGAAATAACTACAGTAATTGCCCATTGCCCCCTGGGGGCGTTTTACCCCACAGACTATGCTTGAGAAAAAAATTATGTCATTCTGAAAATATAATTATATTTTTATTAGATAACACATACTCCCTATCTACATGCCCTACTGTTCTCATATCATAACTGTGATGTTCTACAAAACAACAAGCTTTAAAACACTTTTTTTCTTACTGCTGAAAATTAGATCATTTACTGTGAAATCTGTTTTCTCTCCGGTACATCACCAGTGTAAGCTTCATGGTGAAAACAGATACAATAAAAATGTATCTTGACTTTATCTTGTGGTTATTTTGGGAAAAACAGTAGGGGGCGTTTTCCCCCACTCTGCCCTACCATACAGTTTTTTTCAGCATAACAATTTAAGCGAACTAAAAAATAATTAGAACTATGTCAGAATATCTTAAGATTTGTTTGCATCAAACTAATTTTGCATTAATGGCAGCAGCACCTATACAGGAGTTTCATCAAAAATCTTCTAAAGCTTCTTTATTTCCCAAGTTTTAACTAGATTTTGAGTCCCAGTTCAGTGTGAACTTTTGAACTCCATGTGTGCACACACATGCATACAGACACATAGCTCTCACCTACACGTGTGTTGTTGGTGTTTCTAGCTGTTAAACATGGTCCCGGCGGAGGAGCGGTGGACAGATGTGTCACATTCATGACCTTGAAGGGCTCTCTCTAATCTGGGAAACCTTGGCTAGGGCAGGAGAGCTCAAGTATTTCATTACAAATAATGTAATTTCTAAGATGCAAACATTACCTACTGGAGGAAATACTCTGCAGTCTTGTCTTGCAGGAGCCAGTGGCGGCTCATGGGTTTTAAAATAGAGGAGGCACACTAATTGTATTGGTTTGGGATCCCTGCCAATTATTATTATTATTATTTGCTTAACCACCTTAAATTGGCTTTTTGGTTGCTTTTAGTCAGAAAACGTAAAGAAAATGACATACATACAGCAAGATAATATAACTTCACTTACCTGGCCTATCACTTGAAGCAAACATCCATCCCTTCTTAAAAGTCTGTGTTAAAAGAGAGCTGCCTGTTCCACCATTTAATTAAGCAACTGCTGTAGCCTGTCTATAGGCCTATCCAGCTTAGGCTGTTTTCCCTTTATTTTTAATTTGTATATATACTGTTTGAATGACAGTTTGGTAAATCTGTTGGCAATCAAATATTCAATATCGCTACTCATCATAACTACTAGGTACATTATCAGCGTAGCGGGAGACGTTCAAACTAATATCACGTAATTTACGTCTCTCTGATGATTGGTTGATATCAGAAGGAGGCTAGCCTCCCTTGCCAGGGTTCTTTTCTCAACACTCCTCAGCGCTGAAAGTGAACACTCGATGCTGATTGGCAAATTATTTTTACCAACGGAGGCACGAGAGCTCACCTCTCCCCCGGCCTCCCCCTCCCCTTCTCTATCATTAGCGGTTGTAATTACATCAGCAGATTCGGCACATTCGTGATAGAAAAGCGGCGCTTTCACGTTATGGTATTACAACTGTGAAATTACAAACAAAAAATACACATTCTGAGACATGAACTGAAATGAAGTGTGAATTTTATTAACATTAATAAAATCGTCCTCCTCCCATTTTCACCTCAAAATAATGGGGAAGCTGTGCCTCCCCCGACGAGCCGCCACTGGCAGGAGCAGATGTTCTTATTCTGTTTTCTTTCCTTTTTTTTCCGTTTCTATCTAAAAGGATCTACTGTATGTTTCTCAACTGTAGGCCAATCAGGATGTTGTAATTCACAGGTCCCGCCTCCTGCCGCTAATGATGATTGGTTGTGGAGAGGTTGACAATAGCATCATCATCAGTGGTGGACCCTTCAGATTTATTAAAAAAACTTTCAGATTTATTTAATTTATTTCTGGACCTTTCAGATTTATTTAAATAACTTTATAATCTGTAATAACACTAAACATATTTCATGTTTTCTGTAAACCATTTTTTTTATATCAAGATCAAAGGCACCCTGTGTTTCATTTATTTTAATTAATACATTAAATAATAATATAACATAATAATATAATAATAAGACACAATCAGGAAGCACAAGTTGCAATCAAATTAAATCAATATCAATTACAAAAATCAATATCAAAATTCATCTTTGCACTACAGCGGTGGCACAGAAGAACACAAGAGTGACATTTGGGAATATTTACAGACTGTTTAATTAGGCTCAGAGGTGGCATGAAAGCGTTTAAACTCATAATAACAATGTTATGAACTCAATGCATTAACTATAAAGTTATGAATATAGAAATATTAAATATTGATGCTTTAAAAATGAAACTAAAACGGCCAGTAGGTGGCGGCAAGTCACTATCGTTTGTCACTGAATAATTCATTCAATCGATTCGTTCAAAAAACTGATTCGTTCAGGAATGAAGCAAGTGACTGTTCAAAAACATTCGTTCAAAAACGCACATTCATTCATAAAGGAAACGCTGTGTTTGCTTGGAGATGACCAGCTGCTCAATGCTGACTTTGTTTGGAACTGTTTGTTTGGACCATCATGTTCCTAAATGTAAGCCACTTAATATTAATTTATTGTTTATTTAACTGCTTTATAAAATCAATATGATATTTATTAAAACTCACTTTATAATCATGTAATGCTTACAACTACCCACTGTGTTTAGGAGAATACAAGAGGGCTTATGTTTTCTCATATTTCTTTATGGTTTTAAGGTGACATAAAATTGATAAAACTGCTATATTTACAACCCGCGATGTACACGATACAACAAATTATATCGTTAGTATTAAACATCATTGACACAATTCGCCTGTTACGGTATTTAAAGGCATGAAAATCACTTGCTCATTTTGTGGGTTGAAGTTTCGGAGTATTTGGTAGCCACTGTTAGCGACTGACAAACAGTGTTATCATGGGACTGCTTTCAAAACTAAAAAGAGCGATTGGCTTGGAGAGTGTACGCGAACCCTGTGTACAACTCAAAGACTCCCCCATCATGACGCAGAACCGTCAACCGGAGGCTGCTGGTGCTCTCGAGACCGACGGAGGGAGAAAGCAGAAGAGCTTCTGGAAGTGGGCCGCTCTTCACTTTCCTTCCCGCAGAACGGGAACTTATGACCTGGCCAAAGCTGAGGAGAAATACGGGGCAGAGGCGGGAACACACTGGAGAGATAGCGATGGTACAATCACATCAAATATTGACAAATCACTAAATCTTCAGTTACAGGAACTTCTGTTATTACTCCTTTACATTATTAAAAATAATAATAATAATAATAATCACTGTCCCAAAACACTGCTGTAATTATCACAACAAACATTTTAGAGTAACAGTATAAATATTTTGAGTTTAAATTTTAGTATATCAATTCAATTCAGAACTAACGTACTCCTAAATCAAGAACCACATTAATTTGAGTATGCAATATTTTACTATTTTTTTTTTATTTAATTCATATTATAGCTCCAGCTCCTGAAGACCTCCCTGCTGCTGAGAAACAGCAGAAACACAATGTCCTGGACAAGAGTAAGATTAATAAATATATGAGGATTAGAAAATGTTATTATAAATTATTTTGTATAGAATCAAGTTTACATGTAAAATTGTATTTCATACTTACCACAATTGTTTGTCTGTTAATAGGCCATAATGTACATGAACCCTGTGTACAACCCAAATACACCCCCATCACGTCAGAGAACCGTGCTGTTGAGACTGATGGAGGGAGAAAGAAGGCAGGGAGAGAGGAGACGAAGAAGAGCTTCTGGAAGTGGGCCACTCTTCACTGTCCTTGCAGCAGAGCTGGAACATATGACTTAACCAAAGCTGAGGAGAAATACGGGACAGAGGCGGGAACACACTGGAGAGATAGCGATGGTACAATCACAAAAACATGTCACGATGATGCAAATATTGATAAATGCCTGATTCTTTAATTACAGAAACGTCTGTTATTCTTCCTTTTCATTAAGAAAAAAAAAACATTGCTAACATTATCACACCAAACAATTTAGAGTAACAGTATACATTTTTTAAAGTTGACTTTTTGTAGGATATCAATTCAAAACTGCATCTCAATCTGTTAATAGGCCAGAGTGTACACGAACTCTGTGTACAACCTAAAGACACCCCCACCAGGTCTGATGAGGCGCCTGTTAGTGCTGTTGAGAATGATGGAGGGAGAACGGAGGCAGGGAGAGAGGAAGTCCTCCTCACTACTGAGGAACAGCTCGTGCAGGACATCCTGGACAAGGGTAAGAAATCTGTGAGAATTAGAAACTGTTATTATAAACCATTATATATACAGTATAATATAAAATTGCATTTCATACTAACCGCAATTGTTTGTCTGTTAATAGGCCACATTCGCAAGCAGTATAAAATCGGCCGCATGCTCGGTGAAGGAGGATGTGGTAGTGTTTATGAAGGGACTCGCTGCAATGATGGACTTAAGGTATCAATTTTCTTCACTTAAAAACTTAGCATATCTGTTTAGGATTCATGACTGGTGTGATATCAGCTATCTGCACGTGCTAATTGTTCTTTGCTTTGTTGATTAGGTGGCTGTAAAATGTTCAAAGAAGATGCCAGACATGCCATATATCAGATTGGTGAGTAGACTGCATTCTCTATGTTATTGTCTCTTATTCACTGTTTTCAGTTTATCACATCCTATATTAATGTTAGCCACAGACTACAATTGAGCTTTACTAGGCAAACTGTTTTTATTTGTGAATTATTTGGGAAACCACCTCCACCTAAGCATCATGTTTTCTTTCTTTTAGCCTGGTCATCCCAAACGTCTCCCCATAGAGATTGGCCTGATGCTCATGGCCAATAAGGGCCCCAGCGTTCCCCAGATCATTGAGCTGCTTGACTGGGAGGACAACACAGACCACTACGTGATGGTCATGGAGCGCCCTGTACCTTGCGTGGACTTGTTTAGTTTTGTGGATCACCATGGAGGAAGCCTTGACGAGGGGACGGCACGAAATATTATGTGGCAGGTCATTGATGCCGCTAAAACTTGCTGTGAGCGTGGCGTCTTCCATCGTGATTTAAAATTGGAGAACCTTCTGGTGAACCAGGACACCATGGAGGTCAAATTAATTGACTTCGGGTGCGGTGCGCTCATGAAGAATTCTGCCTTCAAATCCTTTAGTGGTATGTGTTATGAAGTGCTTTATTAATTATCTCACAGAAACACATCTTGTATGTACTCAACATGCTGCAGTAATGTATTAAACATCAGACATCTTTCCTGCAGGCACAAGACCGTACTGTCCACCCGAGTTCAACATGAAGGGCAGGTACCACGCAAAGCCGACCACAGTGTGGACACTAGGGTTCATTCTGTATGAAATGCTGTGCGGGGAATGTCCTACATCCTACGACCGGCACATGATCACTGTGAACCTCTGGACCAGACCTGGCTTGTCAAAAGGTGAGATCTTCATCAAACAATGAACTCCAGGTCATACAAAAAGGACCAATAGCTTCAAAGAGAGCAGGTGTAAAGTATAAGTTTATAATCAAATGACTTTCTTGTCTTTTTGCACAGAATGCTGCCAGATGATTTGTGATTGTCTGCAGCCTGATCCACAGAAGAGACTCAGTCTGGATGAGATGCATCTCCATGACTGGTTTAAGGTACGGAGTCTAAGACTAGTTAAGCTTTTTGTTGGTTTAGTTTGATCATCAGTCGCCATTAACTTAAAATCATTTTTCTCTAAATGTAATGTATTTAGACAAATAATGCTGATTTATCTTTTGTTTCAGGTCACAGAGTAAGACACAAAGAACATCAGAAAACAACTCCTGTCACAGCAGTTAAGCTTTTTGTTGGTTAAGTTTTAAAAGTGAAGTAACATGTGACGACCCATACTTGGAATTAGTGCTCTGCATTTATCCCATCCAAAGTGCACACACACAGCAGTGAACACACACCCAGAGCAGTGAGCAGCCATTTTTTGCTGCGGCACCCAGGGAGCAGTTGGGGGTTCAGTGCCTTGCTCAAAGGCACCTCAGTCGTGGTATTGAAGGTGGGAGAGAGCGCTGTACATTCACTCCCCCCACCTACAATCTCTGCTGGTACGAGACTCAAACCCACAACCTTTGGGTTACGAGTCCGACTCTCTAACCATTAGGCCACGACTTCCCACAACGATCATCTAAATGTAATGTATTTAGACAAATAATGCTGATTTATCTTTTGTTTCAGGTCACAGAGTAAGACACAAAGAACATCAGAAAACAACTCCTGTCACAGCCACCCTGCTGTTTTCTGTCTTCAGTCAGCTTTGCATCTGGTGGACTGACAAGAGTGGCCTTTCCATCAGTCCACTCAGGCCTGAGTGTATTGCAGGCCCTGAAAGTCCTGGTAGCATCTGCCGCCTTGACTTGAAGCAGCAATATTAGTGTCTGGCTGTATTGCTTGCTTGGGGATCTGTAAATAATAGTTAATTATTTATTTATATTTGTTTATTTATTATAAGGTAGTTTGTAAGAAAATATCTAAGGAATTTTGTCAGAAAATGTGTAAGGAATTTATTTTGTAAGAACATTTGCATAAAAATTTATAAGGAATTTTGTAAGAAAATTTGTAAGAGAAATATAATAAAATTATATATTTATATTGTGCTGTTCCCTTATAGTTTCACAGTATATTCCCCTACAGTCCTTTAGGCTCCTGCAGAAGTAATTTCTGTCATGTCTAAACCTGCATTTACAAGATATATAATATAATATACTATAGTCAAAATCATTATGAGTCACACCCAAAATATCAGCCTGAATCTAAACAATTAAATGAATCACAATTTGTTTGTGAAGGTAAGAGAAATGACCTAAAAGTTTTGTTAAGATTGTTTTTCTAAAGCTGCTAATATATTTTTTTATGTTTCAGTGTCAATGTCTCATGTCCAAACAAACAAGACAATGTCATTTACAAATTCTATCTAATGAGATCAGGTAGGGTTAAATCTGTCTAATCAATTGTGTTTTATTATTTAACTTACAAACTCTATAACCCTACACTAGTGTATGAACATAGAGGAGTTACAGAAAGTATAAAGTCCACAATATTTCCATTGTTGTTAGTGATTGTGGACCAGTAGTTCAAAGACTGGTCATTCCAGCTGAAGAGGCTGTCTACTCGCCCTACTCTCCACTGTCTGGTGTCTCTTCACCAATGTTATAGTGTAAATGAGCCTTTCAACAGATGATTAAAATTAGATTCCATCTCAATTTCAACACATAATTGCTACTTGTTTCACTGCTTTTTAAAACCTTCAGCAAATGCACAAAGCCACAAACCATGTTCCCCAGTGCTTGGATGTGTCTTGATTTCTAACAGTTCCTACAAAACCTACAAAAAAGTCACACAAATAAGCCAGAATCCTTATTTTCTTCCATTGGCAGATGAATTAAAGCCCACTATATTGGATGGGAAGACTGCCTGTAGCTGCTCTCAGGTGTTTGACCTTGAGTGTTTTGGGTTTGGCATTAGCACACCACAAAGTAATACTGAAAGGTATAGCGATGAAGCTCAAAGGTTGCAAGCAAGGGTAGCAATAAAAGAACCATTCTTTTTTTAGAGCGCAGAAAAGAGGTGCTGTGGTCATTTTTATGTCCTTTTTCTGGCCTGTGCCTCCTTGTGTCTAATTAGAAAGTGGTCAGTCCAGTCCTGTCCCTGCCAATCAAAGATTGATTTGGCACAACCTGCTCTTGCTCAAGGTCAGTGGTATGTCTGGTATACAGTTTCAACATCACGTAAGAGAGCCTTTCTGCCTTTTTTCAGTGAATCTTTCTGAAGGTTATATCGTTGTGCCAATAGGTGGCGACACATGACTGTCATTAAAAGTGAGTCACTGAATAGTTTTTTTCAAACGATTTGCTTAAAAATACTGATTCATTCAAGAAAGAAACATATTTCAGTGAGTGACTGAATCATTTACACAACCAATTTGTAACAAAAAAAAACTTGTTTCATTCATATTGAAATACGTTTGTGACTGATTCACTGAATCATTCACTCAACAGATCTTACTTGCAAATATTACATACATGGTAAGTGTTTTGAATTGAATGGATGCTTCTCACTTTAACATTTTACACCAAACAAACTGTTAGTCTGTGAGTTATTGTGTTGGATTTTTTAGTGATTCTTTCTGAAGGTTACATCATCCTAACAGTATGTAAGAACAAAGTCTTTAGAAGTAAGTAAAGCCGGGCTCACACTGTGCGAAGTCCTTTAGGATTGTACTTGTCAGACTGTACGAACATGATGATCATGTCACACTGTGGGATCTCAGTTGTCATTAATGTCAGACTGTACGACAGTCAAGACGCGTTAAAAACGGGTGCGCGCAAGAAAACTTGTCCAGAGTTCTACATTATCAACCCATACACATTCAGTGACTGCGAACTGCATTGCACGCGGGGTTGTAATGTTGGTTATCATTAAAAGTATATGAATGACGGCAATACCGGCATATTTATGCAGAATAGTGCAAGCAGCACTACACACCCACATGAAAACAGCAGCGCAACCAGTGTTTATCATAGCAAAGGCAACGAATCATATGAATTCCGTGAGCGGAGGACGAGAGCGCCGGAGTTTATGCGGTTAGAAGAAATCTCTAGCATTAATTCTGATAATGGCTTGTCTTGAAAAACGAAGACAGTTTGACGTTCGTCGTAGAAGATGTCACACTGCAGGACTGTGCGCCAAATCTTCTGACACTGCCAGAAGTTCGTCGGAGGTAAAATTTGATCGCAACGGTCATTAATCGGCTGTCGGTGAACATGTCAAACTAACGATCAAAGACTACAGATTTTAGCCTAGGATTATAGGAATCTTTTAGGATTTTCTAAATTTGTCTCAGACGACCAAACCGTGGCCAAAATCGCACAGTGTGAGCCGGGCTTAAGAAAACCATTCTTTCAAATGATTCATTTAAAAATGCTGATTCATTCAGGAATGAAACATATGAATCAATGAATCATTCCCTCAACTGATTAATGCAAAAATGTTGAATGATTCAAGAACGAAACAAGTATGAGTCACAAGTCATTTGGTCAAGCAATTAGTTCAAAAACCTGTTTCGTTTGTAATGGAATTTTATGAACGATACATTGAATCATTCACTCAAATGATTTTCCTTGCAAATAATGCATGCAAGCTTTCTGAATCAGTGGATCCATGTCATATAAAAAATTAAAAACCTGATAAACTGTGAATAAAATGCTGATTCATTCAAGAAAGAAACATATTTGAGTGAGTGACTGAATCATTTACACAACCAATTTGACAGGGGTTTTTAGTCTAGTTGGCAACAAGTAACTGTCTTTAAAAGTAAGTCACTGAATCATTCTTTTAAATGATTTAAACTATTTTGAAAAAGCTAATTCATTCAAAAACACTGATTGATTCAGAATCATGAGTGACTAATTGAATAATTTGCTCAACAGATTCGTTCAGAAACGCAGATTCATTTGTAACTAAACAAGTGACTGACTTTATGATTGAATCATTCACTCAAATTATTTGTTAAAAAATGACGATTCACCATGCATGTGTTGATTCTGTAACTTTAGAAATATCTTCACTGGAGGAACATCTATAGGGTAAGTTACTCAGTTATAACTTTGTTTATTCAACTGCTGTATCAGCTATATCAAATCGCATTCCTGCTTAAATTTGCCCCTGTGCTACAGCCCCAGCGGATACAATATGATCGACAGGGATTTCTTTCTCATCAACCACTCTGTTTTCAGCGTTAATTTACACCATAGAGAATCTCCGTGCCTCTCTTGAAAGAAATTAATTAATCGCCAGCAGATTGGCTCTTGTAATAAAGCAGCTGTGGTCTGGTTTCCCCCCAACGGACCAAAGGAACCAGTGATATGAAATACAGCCTCCCTCTTTGGGTCCACTTAGGGTTGCTAATGAAAAGTCTAATAGAAACTAATGATATAGCCTTGGATACGGTCACTGCACAGCTGTTTGTGTAGCCATTTGAGTGCTCTCTACATCTCAGCTATTTGTATCAGTTTGCAAAGATTGTACCTGGATTTAATTAATGGCCTTTGTAGCATTTGTGTACTCAGTGCCGTCTGGAGGGCTTGGGTTAATTTGACCCAACTGCTTGCTAAAACAGAACAAGGGAACAGGTCCCACAGGTATTGTTAACTACTGTCTATCGCTTTGGTTTGTCAAAACAAATGGCGGTTGTGTGGTCAGATGAACAGATCGTAATACAAGACTTGCATTAGAGTATAGGCAACTCGTTGTTAGCAAATTCCCCTTCGCATTCATCCACAGAAGTGTTTACATCTGAATGGTGTTCAAACAAGACTAGCATTAGAATTGATCTCCTCTCCAGTCACCCAACTTCGTTTTCCCAGTTATTCTGGCTTATTTATGCCGGCGTTTTGGTTTAATTAGTCTGTACCAATACACAGATGAATTTGATCAACGCGTCTAATTGTTACTGGAAACATTAGCGATGCAAAGAGCACACATTTAGCCATATCTAATGAGGCCACTATCTTTTCATCCAATATTATGGACTTGTTTGGGCCTCTTGTTTTGTTGGCTGAATTGATTACACACTTTGTCTTCTATGCTGCAATTCACATTGACCGCTGTGCATATTGTAATTGGTTGACCAATTTGGTAAACAACACTTTAGCATAAGTGTGTGTAGTTTTTAAACGTTTAAATATTTTCTCCTATCCTAGTTTAATATACAGAGACACTTTTAGTGAGCCATTTGTAGGTTTAGGTGCATAAATGTTTGAAATAAATACTGTGGCTCTGTAATG